ATCAGCACACCCCCCACCTCCTACTGTCTCTCCACAGGGCTCACAGCACTAGTTAATGTCACCTGCTGGCCCTCCTAAGTCTGTGATCCTTAACAGACGAGAAACTTTTTCCCCAGTGGTACTCAAAGCATGGTTCCCGGACCAACAGCATCGGCATCACCTGGGAACTTGCTAGAAAAGCAAATTCGTGGGACAACTCAGAAATTCTGGGGTGGGGCCCAATAATGTGAGTGTTAACAAGTCACCCAGGGTGATTCTGACGCCTGATAAAGTCTGAGAACCCCTGTTTCTCATAGGTAAGACTTCTTGCCTTTGAAAACCATTTTGCGCTGTTCAGTAGAAGGGGCTCAGCTCTGAGGGTCCAGCTGTCCCAGCGTGCAGACGCAGGCCCTAGCCCCACCGGAAATGCCAGCTGTGCCTTCTGCCAGGCTTCCTGTCAAATCCTTGGAGGCCACAAAACTCCAAGTTCTCACAGCACCTCGGAGAGTCTGGGTGCACTCTCAGGGGTACAGTGAGAACCTGGTAACAATTTTGTTTCAAATAATCTGTTCACCTGGCCTTTTCTCCCTGACATGTATATGAATAAACAATATAGTTGCTGTTTTTTTAAATGGAGGGCCAAGTCGTACGGTGTGTTGGGCACATTCTCTGTTGTAACCTAAGATTTCTTTGAACCTCAGATTTCTCAGCTGCAAAATGAGGTGCTCAGGTGAGCTGTCTTCAGCCTCCAGCTCTAAAGTCTGTGACTAATTGACATTAAATGAACCTTCCATTTCAGAATACCAAAAGCCCTCACCTATCCAATAAATCACTGTTTTGTTGGACGGTATGTCTGTACTTAATGAATCAATGCATCGATTTGGCTGTACTTAATGAATTTGTTTTCTCAAATATTTATAATAAGCAAAACACCTTGTTCTCTTTTCACAATGGTTTAAGTGAACCGATCAGTGATTTCAGATAAAAATCGTAAAGGATCTACCATCAGAAATGCATGCACTGATTGGTAACCCCTCGATGTACTAGGGAAGGTTCGGCGGCAGGGAGAGATCTTACAGTGCGGGGCAGCCTCTGTGCTGAGGGTACGTGATTGTGAACATTGCAACACGATAACTCTCACCCAGAAAACCCACCACGCAGTCCAGGGCTGCGTCTCCACCCCTGTCCCAGGGTTCTAACTTGAGTTGACTCTACTTCAAAGGAAGGAAAGCTTGTTTGGCCAAATACCCATGCAGCGTTGGTTTCAGGAATGTGACATGCTGTTAAACCACAGCCGTGTAAGCTTGCGGCTGCCGAGATTTTCCAAGGATGAAAGTTTCACTTTTCAAAGAAAAACATGGCACCATGTAAGTTGGAGAAACCTAAGGTAAATGGTGTCAATTGGCCCCAGGAAGTTTCTTCTTCCAAAGAACACCTACTATGCGTCAGTGTGCTGGGAAGGGTGGAGAGGTGCCTGAGAGTGGACTAAATTGACAAGATCAGAATGATGAGACCGTGCCTGCCTTTGGGCAAGCTTTTCAGGAGGCGGGGATAAAGGACAGTTGGGAGGAGCAGAGCCCAGTGTCAGCGCAGGACATTGGGGGAGGGGGGTTACTGGGGAAGGGAAGGGCGTTAGGCCAGGGGCAGGTCAAGTGAACGGCAGCACCATGAGCAGCTGGGAGAGGCCCTGGAGCTGTGGGAACTGGGGCTGGAAGCACCAAGTCACCAGGCAGGAGAGAGGTCCCCAGGCCATGATGTGAGGATGTCCTATCTCCCTAGATTGGGGTTAATCTGCATTTCGAAGTCAGCATTTGAGGAATTGAATGAATACAGAAGCACATTTCAGAGATTCCCCAACTGTACAATTTTTGCAAGGGAACCTAGAGGTCCTATAACCCAACTTCACCCTCTGTGTCTCGATCCCTCTGGCTACTCTGTTGTCCAGCTTCGTATTTGGCTGCCTCTGTGGACGGGAAGCTTGCTCTCTCACAGAGGAGCCTGTTTCATCACCAAAGGGCTCTAGTCGTCTCAGAACGTTTCCTTCACATGGTGCTAACACAGCTCTCCTTCCACTTGACCTTCTTACGCACACGCTTCAGAAGAACAGGCCTGAACCCAAGTTTACTAACAGCCGCCGTAACCTCTCCAAACTCCCCCAGTCTCTGCCATAGTGGGACGACTCCTGTACCTGGTTAAGGTCACCTGAACGCTGACTAGTTGGTCCACGTTCTTTGAAAACTGTGCTCCCCGCTCCCTCAAAACAGAGAGTGTCTTTCCAGGTAGAGTGACAGAACAAAGGTCAGACCGTGCGCCGTGCGTGGGCAACACTGGAAACCGGAGCCTCTGACCTCAGAGTCCACAGAGGGATGGTGGCTGCTGCTTTCAGGCCCTGAAAGATGGTCCAAGTCAGCCCAGGCTGGGGCGACCCCCTAGAGGGGCCAGGCAGCCTTGACCAGGCCTGACGCCGAGTATTTCCTAAGCCCTGGGTGCTCTGCAGCCTCTCCCTGTCCGGGGTAAAAGAGGCCCGGGGCCAGAGTCTGTGGACGCTGGAGTTCATGGACACTGGTGGGAGAAACCCCTGGGCCCTGAGCTTGGCATAGAAGGGAGAAGCCCGCCCCCTTGTGGACCTCTTGGGGGTGGCAAGGTGCAAATAGCACTGAAACCACAAGAGGAGATGGGGGTTTGGGGGAGCAACCACTTCCCCTCACCGCTCCATTTCACCAGTCACCTCTGGTGGCCTGCAATAGAATTGGTCTGCACTGTCACAGGGTTGGGGAGGGGAGTGGTGGCAGGGGACATGAAGAGAAGTTAGGAGGTGGTGACCCCTGGGTCTACATGCTTGACGACAGAAAGTTGGAAAGAAATCAGGTAGGTGTTGTTAGCTGTTTTAAGAAAAGACGAAAAAAAAAAACACCAGTCACCTGCAGACCTTTCCTGGGTCTGCCACTCCCTGTGTGGCCCCTGGCAAATCACAGCCACTCCCGGGCCTCCAAAGACTGTGCTAGGTGAAGGTGAAGGCGCCAATCCCTCTGAATGCTGAAGCATTAAGCCTTTCACAGCCCTGTCCTGAGGACCGCCGGTCATTGGTGGCACCACAGCCCTGATGGAAGGGAAGAGGGTATGGGAGGTGGCAGGGACAAAGGATATTGTGGAAGGGGAGGCAAAGGGCACCAGCATGGCCACTGTACCCGTCCATCACTGCACCATGCCCCTGGGACCCCAAAGGATCATTTCCCAGAGTGGTCTCCCCTCCTTCCACAGTTTTGGCCAAGTGTACGTCATTTCTCCATTGCATGGACACCAGCCCAGGGGTGCCTGTGCCATAAAACATGCTCGCCCCCAAGAGATGGGACCCAGGCCCGTTTTATGTCCCAGACAGTAGCCCACAAACGTCCACTGCCTCACTCACACACTTGTAGGCTGCCTTTACTCTGCACTAAGCACATTATCAAAGATTGCGTTTTTAATGTATTTTCAAGGTAAATTCTTTACTACTCTGTAAATGATCAGTATAATTGGGCTAAATGTAGCCCTGGGAAACGCAAACCAGAAGCACTTTCCTCGAAGCTCTCCAGATAAAAAATGAATGATATGTTAAAATGGCTCAAATTTCTTACTGCACTGTGCTCATAGAGACACACAGCCATGAAGTCACCAAAGATGTCGTTTGTAAAGACTGTCACCCAGCAGAATGAAAAGCATTGAGATCTTTTAAAAAATGGCCCTGTATAAATTATCTGAAATAACGATGTCCTCAGCCTAGTGCGCTATCCTAGCTAGAAAGGTCCAGTGCAGATGTTGGGGGTAGGGGGTCATCTTTGCACACTTCAGTACACTAAAGCTTTGGCTGAAATTATATAAGGCTGCAATGTTCTTTTACTTTTTAATGGCATTATAAGTTATCATATAAACACCCTTTAAAAATCAGAGGATTGCAACAATAAGTACAACCCAAGTTCTACCTAAAAACTACAGTCAGGTAGAACATGTAACTCTAATTGTAGACAGAAGCCTTTCAAACACCTATTTAGACCACCTGGTTTCTGCAGCATTGCCAAATTCTAAAATGGTAATGAAAATTTTAATGTCCAAAACCTACAAGCTATCAGAGGTTCAGTAAGCAGATTGTGCCATTTCAAAACTGAATGTGCTTGCATAAGCAAGTCACCGGGGCTAACCTTTCTGGATTGAGAGTCTGGCCTTCAGTTCAGACCGTGGCTATGCCAGGGTCAGAAATGTGACAAAACTGTGCTTTCACGGAGGTTAGCCAAGGTTCACAGGGTCATGACTGGGCCATTTTATCAGTCATGTCAGGCTCACACCCTATTGCCTGGGATAGATAAAAACTTTATCTGTCAGTTTGCTAAATCTGCTCCTCCTGCCTCATTCTGAATAAAGAAAACCTGAGCTCAGCTTATCTAAACCAGAAACTTGCTTTTCCCAATACTGTTTTCATACACAACTTCTAAGTAAAGGTGACATGCCAATGATTTCTGGTCTCATTTTAGTAAAGAACTGTCCATAATTGAAATGACTGGCTTTGTCTTATCTAAAACCTTAACTTCAGAGAACAGCTCTGGCACTAGCCGACAACATAGATTTATTATGTTTATTAAATGTTGGATGGGCTGAAGGTGTTATATTAGAATGACAGTTCTCAAAGTGTTACCTTTTCAGATTCATCTTTCCCTAAAGTAAAGCAAACTAAAAAAAAAAACACACTAAAATTAACTTTTATGGATTTTTCAAATAGGGAACCTAAACTACCATAGAAGAGTTTACAAAGATACCTTTGGACTAAAACACACACACACACACACACACACACACACACACAATATTATCCGCTAATGATTGTTTAACAGAAAACAAAATAGCTAAGGTTTCTTCCTCACAGAAAATAGATATGCACAGATAACAAATAAACCCAGGTAGACATTTAGAAATCTGGGTAAATACACTAAGTACAAATATTAAACCCGTGAGTTTTCCCTGACAGTAATCTTAAATACAAGAATAGCACCTTCAAATTTTACTTTATTTGGAAATTATACAAATTCATTATTTTAATATTTAAAGACCGTGTTACTAGAGACACATAAATATTATAATATACATTTAGAAATTAAATATAAAGTCAACGCGACACTATATGAAAACTCATATGTACATTTCCAATAAGTCTGAGGTTTGAGCATTCGTGCCCGTCAGATTTCCCCCTGGAAACGGGTGAATCTTGCAGGGAGATTGTCCACAGGATACACGGTGGGGCTGGTTTTCATTGTAGGAGGTCCATTTAGCAGCTGCCAGTCACAATGCCTGGCCAGCTCCACTGTAAATATTTTGAGAAGAATTTTTGCAAATTCTTTGCCTACACAGCTCCTGAGGCCTCCTCCAAATGGAATGAAGCTGAACCTGGATGCATCCTCTGGGTGAGGCAGCAGGAATCGGTCAGGATTAAATTCCTCCTTATTGGTGAAGATGTCTGCCACATCGTGAGTATCACAGATACTGTAGATAACATTCCAGCCCTTGGGAATCTGGTATCCCTGCAAAAGAGTATGAAGCCCCAAGGGCTGACAAACTGAAATTCACCTTTCAACAACAAAAACCTGTCACCTATATCTTTGGGGGAGTTATGAGTTAAAAGAGAGGGAGGAGAGAGGGAGAGAGGGAGAAAGAGATTGATTCAGGTTGCTGAAACATGACAGCAACATAGGGCGGGACAATGTTACCAAAAGCATAAAGAAGTTAAGCCAATGCAAGAGGGAGTTTTAAAACCTCAACAAAAGGGAGGCTGGGGGCAGAGAAATTTTAACTTACATTTAATTCAAAAGTCTTAAGAGCAACCCGAAACCCTCCTGGAACCGGGGGATTCAATCGAAGGGTCTCCTTAATAACACACCCAATGTATTTAAGTTGTTCCAAAATTTCCATGTCCAACTTGTTGTCTTGATTGCTCTTGCAAAGTAAACCCTATCAAAACAGTCGCACAGAGGTGAATGGGTATGGTGTGCTCCAATAAAATCAGCCCAGCAGACATAAACAGGGCTTAAGTGGCGACTAAACCCAAAGGGCCCCATGATGAGAAGCTGTGAGGAGGAAACAGCAGCTAGCAACCATTTGCCTCCACTCCTCAGCCCAAATCCACTACCTATTTACAATTCCGAGAGAAGGCTGCTCACCAGTTAGAAGGGTTAAGCTTCCCCCACCCCATTCGCCACCACTGATCAGCTACCCATGCTTATCACTATTCATGTCCTTGGACAGACAAATTCAGGAAAGTAGAACCTATCTGAAAATCTCCATGGTTCTGCAACAGGTGGAGGAGGGGTAGGAATACGAGGTCAAACCCTACCCAAGTGGGATCACAGCTCCGAATTCCATTCTTTTTATTCACAAAGCTAATTTTCTCTCCCCACTGGCCCCTCCACCTCTTGGCCCTGCACTTTAAAAATATTCAGCCAAGGCAGCACACTTGCTTATTCCGAAGTTGGCTAGGGAGCAGCTGGATTTCCTAAGCTAATAGGGAACCCCCAGAGTCTCCCTACCTTGCTCTTCAGCTCCTCTCTGACTTTCTGGAGAACATGCGGATAGAGCCCCAGGTAAGTGATCAGAGATGTGGCTGCACTGGCCGTGGTTTCGTGTCCTCCAAAGAGGAGTTCGGTTGAAGACTGCTTTAGTGCCTAAAAATGGAGTAAGACCAACGTTTGCCCAAATCTGCAAGCAATTTTACACAGTGACTACTCAGAACCAAACTAGGGGTTCTGGAGGGAAGACTAAGCTTAAAGTTTTGCTAATAGAAAGTCAAAGAAAGCAATATCTTTCAACAAAATGCGAAGTCCCTTTAGTTCAGCCAGAGCAGGAAGGGGAGTAGGATCCCACTCTACCAGGAGCTCCTGAGTTAAAAAGCCTTGTTTTTATCAAAATCGCCCAGGGTTCTTTATTAACATTTTGCAAATTCCAACTTTCCCTTTAAAACCTGGAAGGCCTAGGGGACGCTCCCAGTCCCGGTAGCCTCGTGCACAGCTCTCCTGACCCGGTGTCTCAACCTTCAGGATCCCATGTGGAATCTGGGCGGGCAGCCCACTCCGGGAAGCTGGGCCCCAGGAGGGCACTTTGGGGGCCCCAGGAACCGCGCTTGGAAAGCCAGGGGACCAAATTCTGCAGTGCCTCTTCTGAAGCCACCACTCACCTGCATGTCCAGCCTCTCGCCCCTCTCCCACGAGTGCTCGATCAACAGCTGCAGCGCGTCTTTGCAGTCCCCGCCCGCCTCGGCCGCCCGCAGCCGGCAGATCTTGGCGCGAATGTTCTCCTCGATGCGCGCGTGAATGAGGTTCCGCGCCTTCATGCCCTGAGCGCAGAGAGCGCGCGGCGGTCAGCAAACGCCCGTTCCCGCGCCCTTCACTCCGCATCCGGCTTGCAGCCCTTACCCGGTACAGCCCGCTGAAGGGCACGTCGATGGGCAGCGAGAAGAGATTGCGGGTCATCTCCTCGAAGGCCTCCACCAGCTGCTGCTCCGCGTCCCCGCCGCCCGCCAGCCGGGGCTCGCAGCCCAGCAGGATGCGCATGGCGATGCGGAACATGAGGCGCTTCACCTCGGGGTAGACCAGGAGGCCGCGTTCGTCGCAGCTCAGCCACCGCTCCAGGCAGCTGCCCACTTCCTCCGCGATCACCGGCACGTAGCACTGGAGCGCCTCTCGGCTGAAGGCGCGCATAATCACCTGAGCCCCGAGGAGGGGACAGCGTTAAAAACCTTCCATCTGCTCCTCTCGCCGTCCCCAGCCCCGCCAGACTCGCGGCACCTCCAGGCTGGGAAAGCTAACCTGGAGCTCGGAGAGGGTTCTAGCCCACACCTCACGCTGCTAGCGCCCGCCCAGCATCTATGTGCCCGAACTCCTCCAACAAATGGGAGCCTCCTCCCTGTCCAGACGTCGCCACCCCGCCCTCACCTTCTTGCGCTGCTTGTGCGAGGAGTCGTGCAGGTTGGAGAGGCAGCCGGAGCCCAGAATGGTGCGCACCGACGCGGGCCAGTGGACCGACACTAGCCGGTGCTCTCCGAGCAAGATGCGCCGCACGTTGTCCGCGCCCATTACCCGCACCGTGGGCCGCCCGAACAGATGCGTCTTGTAGATGAAGCCGTATTTCCTGCGCTTCATTTGCAGGAACTTCCTCCGCTGTGAGAAGAAGGCAGAGGAGAGAGGCGGGCGTGAGGGGGCGCCGGGGAGCGCCGCGCCTTCCGCTAGCCCGGCTCCTAGTCGCAGTCATCTCCTTCCCGGGGCACCTACCCCTGCTTCAGCGCGAGCCCAGAGCCGAGCCGGGCTCCGGGAAAGCGTCCTGTCTCGCCCCAAGCTCCCTTACCTGCAGCACCATCTGCAATGTTTCCCCAAAGAAGGGGAAGCCCATAGTCCCGGGAGGCAAGGGGAGGGTGCAGCTGCGGTCGCGGCTGCTCACGCAGTACAGGTTCCAGAGCTTGATCGCGGCCAGGAAGAGCAGCAACGGTAGCACGAAGGTGCAGAGCGCACTGGCCAGCAGCGCCGGCAGCCCCATGGTGCGCCTCGGCCTTCCGCGCCACCTGCTGCCCGCCGCCAGCGCTCCAAAACCCGCCGCGCGCCCGCTTTATAGGCAGCCCAGGTTGCTGCCCACGTTACCTTGGTCAGACAATTAGTTCACCCAAAGTTCATCTTTAATTGCGGATTGGGCCCCTGGCTCCTCCCCCCGCGAGGCGCTGCCCAAAATCTTTAACTGTTTGTTCCGCGCCAAGGCAGAGGCGGGGCGGTGGCGGCTTCCCTCCGAGCGTGCCTCCTGGGGTGCGGGGCTAGGAGCAGCTTGCCTCCCCCGTCCAAGGTGTGCGGAGCTCCGAGGCGGCGGCGGGGGCGGGCCAGGGGTCCGAGGAGCGGGAATTCAAGCCCTAGGCTTCCTGGAGGTCCCTTCGGAATCCCTCCTGCCCGCTCCGACGGGCTGCCCCAGCCCAAACTGCCCTCACTTGCTTTCCTTTTGCAGGCGCCGCGTGAGCTCCCTTCCACCTGCCAGGGAAGCAAGGGGAAATGCGTTCAGGAATCGTCCAGCTGCCTCGTCCCACAATTGGGGAAACTGAGGTCCAAAAAGCGAAGCACAACGCAGACGTCCCGACTTCTCTGAAGATCCCGCAGAAGAGCCCAAGGCCAGGATGCAAGCGGGAGCCGCGGGGAGTCAGGCATGGCCGGCGGCTCGTGGATCTCAGCTCCCCGACCCCCGCAAGGGGGCCAGCACACATGAGTCTCCGAAGGCCCTACTTAAGGATACAAGAGAACCTCCAGGTCCCTGAGGACCCCAGGTGCTACCCTACTCAAGCCTGCTCCCCAGCCCTGACGCCCTAGTGAGGGACCACAGGGGCAACACATCCGCGGCTCGGCAGTCAGCGCTCGGCTCGGCTCTGAAATCCGACCGCCGCCGGCCCGATTCTGGGGGCCCTGGGGCTTGAAGCCCCAGCTAGGCAGCGGGGAAGGGGGTCCTTAGTCCTGGCAAGATAAGGAGACGGAGATAGAGGAAGGAAAGCTCAGGAGTCCTGGCTCCGACTCCCAGCTCCATCTCGTCTTGCGTGACCTTGGGCAAGTCACCACGCATCCTCGTGCCTGCTTCCTCCTTAATGTGGAAGCGATCATTCCCGACGTGTATACACCTCCCCACGCGTATACACGTGTCATTGTGAGTTCACAAAAGGGCCGTCTGCTTGCAAATACTCTTCCCAGCTCCAGGCACGCTAGTCTGCGTTACCAGGGTAGCCTGCACCCGGGTCGCTGGAGTCTTCCTCCTCTCTCCTAGCTCCGGCCCAGAGTAAAGCCATTGTCCTCACCCAAGTGAGAGGGGTGCTCAGCCCTAAACCCAGGCCTCTGCCGACCGCTATTCGGAGGGTTGAAGGAATCCGTACTGGGAAGCAGGTCTTCAGTATTTTGCCCAACTACAATGCCTGGAGCTACGGCACTGCTGGACGCGCCCGTGCGCTCCTGCGCCACCTGGCCGAGCCACGCCGCTTCGGACCAGTCAGGGCCACGCGCTTCTTGGTCTGGTCGCCGAACGCACCAGCGGCGCCGGAAACGAAACAGAGAGACGGACGTTTTTTTTAGAACCGAGCACTGACTCTTGCAAAAGCCTTGGAGAGGGCCCTTTGGAGATGGAAAATACTTTGATCCTGAGAGCTGGTAAAAAGTTGCCCTACCGGGGGTCCCTAAACCCCAAGGGGCCAGGAAATAATCTGCGGAGGTCTTAGGGACCCGCACAGTTCCAGCAACGCTGCAAGCCGGGGTCGCCACAGTGCGGGTTTCGGGTTTCGGGGAGTCAGCGTTTCCCCATAGCGCTGCCCAGCGTTTCAAAGGCTTCGGGCAGGGTTTCAGCCTCTCCTACTGTCATTTCTTCTAACGCTTTGGTGACTATAAACAGTGCGAGCCAACCTCGGGCCACCGGCAGGAACCCCGGCGAATCGCACTGGAGGTAATTCTCAGAAACCCCGAGCCCCCCCTTTCTGGACTGCGCCTCCGGCCGGTGTGCAGAGCTGGCGAGCGGGGGCGTGACCTGGGGCCCGTTCCCAATCCTCCGGCCTGACCCGCCTGTGACCCCTCCAGGCCGGACCGTGACATCCGAGTGAACTCTGCGGGGCCACCTCGCCAAGTTCAGCGCGCGCCGGGTCACAGGATGAGCAGGGCCTGCGCGCTGGAAATTGCCACAGGGGAAAATTTTTTAAAAAATCTATCTGCCCATGAAGACCCGCGAGGGCGTCTGGCGGGGGCGTCCAGCAGGAAAGGATTAAATGTGAGAGTGAAAGATCATTAAAAAACATCTTGAAAGGGGGAAAGGGGTCAATAAATTACCAGCTCCATGAGAACTTTGATCTAGGAACCTCGCCAAGCTTTCTCGGGTGGTGGTGGGCGGGCAGGGGGAGTTGGTTCACTGAAAACAAAATGTTTCCGAGATGTTTACGAAACAGCCTCCCTATTGCTAAAGCCCGGGGGTGGGGGTGGGGAGCGGTATTTTTGCTGGTGGGGAGGGGTGGTGACCCAGGAGTACACTGGGGTCAGATGAACCAGGGACCTGGAAGCACTCCTCCACTTTTCTCCTTTCACAACCCTTTCTTCTATTTCTTGAACACTCATTCCTGTCTTAGGGTTCTGTACTTGCTGCTTCCCCTGCTTGGGTCACCCCTCCCCCAGAGCACAGCTGGCTGGTTCTTACTAAAGTCAAATGTCACCTCCTCAAAGAAGTTCCCCCCACCCACCCAGCCAACTTTAGCCCCAGGCACCCTGTGTTGCAGGCCTGTTCTATTTTCTTTACAGCAGTTATCACCACTGGACATATTCTTGCTCTTTTCGTTGCTAGTTTATGTATTGTCTGCCTCCTTCCCGTGCATATCAAGTCCGGGAGGGCAAGAACCTCCTCTGCTCCTTCTTTAGAGAACCTGCGGCTACTGAAACTGGAGTTCGGATATTCCTTGAAATTACTGAATCAATTGCTATCAATCAATTAAAGTAAAGTTGGAGCTGCCCTACAGGGCTTATAGTTTGTCTAGACCCGAGAGCAGGTAAACCAGGTCTTCCTGGACCCAGCTCCACTGTCCTTGCTTCTGAGGCCACACTCCACATTTCTCTTCTCTCCCAAATTCATAATCAACCCTGAAGCCCAGGTCCTCCTCCTCCTCACCCAAACCCGAGCTTCTGCCACTAGGCTGTCCTCTGGGTGGTTTTTCAAGAGCACCCTGAGGGCAGGCCCACATCCTGCCACCTTTGCCAAGCTCAGGGTCTGGCGACCAGCCTGCCACTAGCAATGGGTGATGAGTTGCCTTGTGTGGGAGTTATGGCGGTTTCAGCCCAGCTTGGAAGGGTCCGCTGCACTCTTGAGCTACCCACCCTGTACACGCCCCGATATATCCCTCTTTGCTTTTGGCTTTGGGATCCACCTTAACCATAAGGTCAGGAGGACACTGGCTTCCTTCTGGTTCACTAAGGGGTCAGCTTGGGCCTGGGCAGCGATTTCTCTGGCTCACCCATCATGTCCAGCTGTCCGAGCCATAGGAAGATGGGTGGTATATTGAAGTGGGCTGTTGGAAGTGATGGTGGGAGCTTTTGGCTCTGGTTTAAACACTGGTGGAAACCTCTATATTGGAAGGCTGAGAGAGTCCTCAAGTCAAGCTAGGGATCACTATGAAAAGGAGGCAAAAGAGCTTCAAGGTGGCCACAGGTGCAGAGTTTTGGGGCAGGGGAGTTAAGTGATGGGGAGGAGGAGAGCACTGGCTGGGGAGTCCAGGAGCCTGTGGCTGGCTCCTCAGGGGAATCATTCCTCTTGCTGGCTCCTCAGTTTCTCCCTGTGATAGAGGATGCTGAAGTAGTAATCCCAGGGGGTCTTGCAGCCCGCTGAGAGCCTGGGCCTCAGGCTGCCCAGCTCCCAGCCCCTCTCTGGGTATACATACGGTGGGATGGGTCCTTCCCAGGCCTCCCCCACCCTCCACCCCAGGCCTTCCCACCAGGGAGCAGCTGCCCAGCTAAGCCCCAGCCTCCTCGCTCAACCACTGGGAGGAAGTTTTATTTCGTGGCCTTCCTATTTTGGGTACAAATATCCCAAACCTCTCTGATTAAGTCTTAGCCTCCCATGAAATAATCCAGCCTTAGAGACATGTTGGTGTGCCTATTCTCTCCTGTATAAATGGGAAGATTAAATGCGTTCTTGAAGTAAGAATTTTTCTTTTAGAAGTCGCCAGCAGAATCCGGTGATGTTGAGCCGTTTAGAGCCCTGGCAGCGCCCACTGTTCCGAGTTTCCGCCGAGATGGGCCGAGTGGCCACGGCGCACAAAGCCGGAGACCAGCTGCCTGGGGAACTTCCGTCCGGGATCCTGCTCCACGTGTCTTCCTATGGCCCAAAGCCAGGCCAGGGATGCGTCTCCAGCTCTACTTCCCTGAAAGGGTTGCAGGTCCCGCCGCCTGCACCGGGGCTCTGGCACAATCTGCAAGGTGCAATCTCCCCTCCCCTGCAGCCCCGCTATCCACGCACCCTCCTGGCATTGGCTCGGGAAGGTGAAACCGAGTAACACCTAGTGCAGATCTGTTCCCTCCATCCCTGCTTGGATATCCTGGGAAGGGCTTAAGAGACCTGGCCCACGACCTTTCCTTCCTCTGGGTGCGGAGGGCAGGAGACACATTCCCACCCGCCTGGGCGCTTCTCCAGCTCAGCTGTTGTGGCTCGAGCTTCTCCTCCCTCGAGTCTGGCACAGAAACGCGTTTGGTGAATGTTAATTGAGTGAGTGAACGAGTGAGTGCGTGCGCGACGCCGCACTAGGGAGCCGCAGGTGAGTGGCGCTGCGTGCGCGTCGCTGCCACCGGCCAAGCGGTGTCCCGCAACACAGCACGTCAGAGGCATAGCCCATCCCCCGCAGCCGAAGGCGAGAGCGGGTGGAAAAAGAGCCGCAGGCCGTCCACTGGGTGCACGATGGGCACGGTCTGCATGGCAGGGAAGGCGGGTGTGGCCAGCTCCCAGCGCGCGGTGCGCACCAGCTCCACCGCCAGCAGCTGGAGCACAGCCTGCGCCAGCTCCTGGCCGAGGCAGCTGCGCGCACCGCCACCGAACGGAATGTAATGGAAGCGGCTGGAGGCGCTCCGCGCATCTTCGCGCACCGAGCCAAAGCGCTCCGGGTCGAAGCCCTCCGGAGGGCTGCGGTACACCGCGGCCGTCTCGTGCGTGTCCCGGATGCTGTACATCACGCTCCAGCCCTTGGGGATCTGGTAGCCCTGCGGGGAGGGAAGAAGACCAGCCTGACCACGAGGTACCTGGAAACCCGGCCCCAACCGACCCTCCACCCCGCGCATCAACCAGGCTTTCGAAAACCCGCAAGAAACGCGCGGCTAATCCCGAAGCCAGGAGAAAGCTCTGCGTTCCAATCTCAGCTCCTTCAAAGTGAGCCGTATGACCTGCCGGATTTTGGGCTACATATTCATTCTCTGAGTCTCAGTTTCTTAATCGAAATTGTTCTCATTTCAATGAGAACA